CTCGAGTCCTCGAGTCGGTGGTAGCGTGGCGGTGCCTGGGAGCAGGCTGTGGGAGAGCACAGGCTGCCCGGCAATCCCAGAGCCGGACACGTTCGTTAACAGTTGCTGATAATAGGTTTTGCCACCTGGGGTTTCCTGGGGAAACAGCCCATCTTATTATGGACCCACTGAGTTGTCTCTTTTCGGGAGATGTTTTCCTCATTGCAGCTGTGTTGAAAGCCTTGTGAAGTGCTCCGGCTTCGTTTTAATGTATGTTTTTGTTTTAAAAAGCTGTGTACAGAAATTATACTTGCTAACCAGAACGGGGTATTAGTTACCTTACATAGTCTTTGTTGGATATAAAGCCATCGCTTATCAGAGCAGGCAAACATTAGAAAGATCTGTGTACACTAAAACTCCAGAAGAAGCCATATACGAAGGAGAAATTTTGTTTTATTTATTGTTTATGTTAGTAGGTAATTCTTCCTGACTCTGCAATTAACTTTGAGGAGTAAGCCAAGGAAAGCTTCTAAAAAGCTCTGCAGGGGGATAATGATTACTTAATCCTGTCTAAGGAGATTTTAATGAAAATAATAAAAAATCATATTATATTTAAAATGATTCCTTAAGGACAAGACAAAGCTCGGGGAGGTCCCCAGCAAAGATTATTTGATTTCAGAGAACATCGGATTATGTCTTTAAAACTCCTCTTCCATCTGTTTTCTAGTGTATGATGTTTCATCTCTTTCCCTTCAAAGTCTCCTGTACCAGGTTGCCCCGGTAAGATTTATAATCAGTGGGAAAAAAAAATGTATCTGTTCGCCCCTTGGTTCCTTTCCAAACAGGAGGACTTCCAAATTAACTCTGGCATCCTACGCAGCTTGAAACACCCTCATGTGGTGTAAATGAAGTATCGAATAGCTCACTATTGTCAAACAGGCCACTCGCAGATGCCAGGGCTTGGCTTAAAGAAATGAGCAAACAAAGGCGAGAGAGAGAAGCAGGTAATAATATGTTGATACGAACTGACACCGAGGCTATGAGCAGTGGACAGAGAAAGGGGGGGAAGTCAATATGACAAAGGGTATATTATATGATAGACATCAAAGTATTTGCAGTGGGCTTAGGAAATGGAAAAAGTGCAGTGATAGTCACGGTGTTTTTCTGACTCGATGTAAAATGGGAAATCAACTCCGCTATTTGGTCTACTGCACTCGAAGGAGCGGCGTTTTAAATGCAGTGATGGCTGCAGAGCTTTGTGATTGAGTGTGTCTGATGGTTTTAAATGTTAAATAATTC